ACACACACACACACACTCACAGGAAGGGCCTGAGGAGTTTTCGCAGGTATTAAAATCACCCCTTTTGGCTTAAATTTGCAAGCAAAACAGAACCACGGGCGTTAATTTATTTGATTAAGCAATTAGTTTACATAACCACTCAGAGTAGTTTGGGGTTCATTGGATGGATTGTTTGTGACAGGTTCTCCCCGCTGAGGTTTGCAGGGCCGACCTGGAGGCCGATAACAATCAAACATGTGAGAATCGCTGCGTTTAATCATAATTAAAAATACTCCTACCTCAGAGGACAGAGAAACCAAACCAGCGTTGCCAATTTAGCAGGATTTGGACGCTTTTATGGCCCCTTCAGCAATGTTAGCAAAACAAAAACATGAGCCCAAATCTTTCCTGGAAAATATCGTGCTTTCAGGAGAGTCGCAGGTGAATGTGCAGTCCTCCTTGTTTGCTGTAACAGTAGTTCTGTGGGTCGACAGCTGAGCTCGGCAGCCGGACTGAAACATCAGCAGAGGATCCATGAAGTGTTCTGGTTCCTAATTCAGACTTCGTTATGAACTTTAGCGATGTGGAAGGAGCAGATTTGACGCTTTCAGATGCATTCACAGAAATGAGCGACCAAAAATATTGCTCTTAAACCTGCAGGTTGTTTTTAATATTTAATTAATTTTAAGATTGCAATTCCTGCAAAGTCGGCATGTGTTTTTTCTCTACAGGCTGCACAGCTCTCTTCACTCCTGTAGACTATTTTAATTTTTAAAATAGTCTTTCCAACTTACTTCTTTTTCTGAGATGCTTTGTTAAAAAAATAAATTAAAAAAATATTGTCGCTGAAAAATATCGACTTTCTTTTGCATACATTTCGACGCTCTGTGTCACCGTACAGTTCAGAGTTTCATTGACTCGTGCATCTAAAACTTCCTACTTTGCAAAACTAGCGACGAGCAAAACTCAGTACTCCTGAAACCCTGACACACACACACACACTCACACACACACACAAACCCGATTCATGAACACACAGCCACCATCCAAAATGGACTAGACAGCATGCATGTAGGGACGTACACACGAACACGCACTTGCACGTTGATTCATATACGGGGGCTTCATTCATCACAGAGCCTGAATGGAAAGCGTTGCTAAAGTTCATGCTTTATAAAGCATGTCAACTCCTGTGTGTGCTGCTATGTTCCAGTGTGACGTCGTATTAAAACCCTTAATTAAACACATCGCCGTAAGATAAGAGCAACTTTCCATTTGTGCAGAAATGTGGATTAATGAGGCCCGTTGCATGCACACACACACACACACACACACACACATGCAACCATCCTTGATGCATGCGCCCACGCACGCACCGACGCTCTCCGTTTACTTGTGCTTATATTTCAAGGTGTTTTGTAAACAGGAGATCCTGTACGAAACACACTCACACAAACGTACTGTCCTGTGCCAGTGTTGTCCATCACAATGACAAAGTGCAGCGGGTCAGCTCAGAAGAAGCAATAACTGGGCTCTACACCTCCTCACCTGTCAGCCGCGCTTTCTGCCTGTCTGCAGACGCTGTCAAACCATCAATCTTTGCCCCCTCTTTTATATGCTTCCTCTTTCCGTCTGTCCCCCCCACACCTCTCTCTATCCCTTTTGTCTGTCTCTGATTTAACGTCTCTGATGCCGCGTCGCTCTCCTTCAATTTGTTCTTTAAACGTCACATTTAGCATATTGGGTGTGTTTGTGTGCTTGTGTGCAGTGTTGTTGTGTTTAAGGGGGCTGCTTGGCCCAGCAGGACACCTGGGTGCAGCGTGTGTGACAGCCAGAATATTCATCAAGTGCCTGCCTTTAAAAAAAACACTTGGGATGAGGCACAGCTTGGGCGTGACTACGCCTGAGTATGCAGGCAGCAGTTCAGTGGAGCAGGGAAGGCCTTTGCCATTAATTTGGAATGAAGAGGCATCCCTCGAGAGTACATAAACGCTCCTCAATATAAATTCCACTGACACCGTGCTTGGAAGGGCTCGGCCAAAGCTAAGAAAAATTGGTTCTCAAACTGCTGTCAAGTACAGGAATTATCTTCTGAGACGAGAAGAACGGCAGCAGGTAGCGTCGTCCCTGCAGAGCCCTGATTCTGATCTCAGGGAGTCGGTGTGGAATGACAAGAGAAAGCATGAATCCACAGATAAATAACAAAAAGATGCTTGGACCAACCTTCCTCCCAAGTACCTAGAAAAACTGCTAAAGCTCAGAGAGTTGGCTCTGAATTTGCACTTGACAACTGTATGGTGATGGTGAAGTGAGCTGACTCTGGTGTGTGGTGGCAGATTTTAACTAATAAGTCGTTCTAAGAAATGTGAGAGGAGCCATAAGTGGTAGAATTACACAGTTTTTGTGCTGCGTGGATGTTATGGGTTAAAGTTCTGTTGTAATATTTCAGAGACCGATCTCAGACAGGAGGTACGCCTGTTTGTGCACGTGTGCTGTTGGAGGAAATGATCATCTCAGTACTTTGGTTGCAGCATACATGATGTGGCAGGAGGTAGCAGCCGTGCACATTGTCTTCTCAGTCGCACGTTCTTCTCTTCTCGTTCCCTCCCTGCAGCGCTGAGCAGAGCGATGCGTCGCCTCGCCGCTCTCAGGCTGCAGTGGATGCTTTCAATTGGTTCTCGCCTGAGTCCTCTATCTTGTTAGTGAAGTCTTCGGTGTTTCTGCGGTTACCTTCGGAAGCAGCGGTGCAGCAGCTCCTCCTGTAGCCGTTGTGCTTCCTCCGTCGTCCCTGGAGGCGCAGCCGAGAATGCAGAGAGAGAGAAGCTGTAGTTTCCATTACCTGTCGATAAATGTGCCGGCTGATGACTCGCAGGAACCTTTTCTGAAGCTATTCACGGTCCACCTCTGAGACCAGGACCAAACCACGGGTCACGGGTGCTCTCACGTATTAGCACAAGTGAGGACCAGTGTTTAGAGACGAACACAAAAAACTGCAAAGTGTTAAATTAATGAGTTGCTGTGCTGCTGCCTGGCTTCCTTTCCTTGCCTCATCACATCTCTCTCTTTCTTTGCTTTCTCTCTCCTTCGGGGCTTTGGCAATGGTAATTTACTGCCTCATATCAGCCATGAATCTTTCTCTATGAACCTCTTTGTCTTTCTCGCCTACCGGCACGTGTTAATATATCGCTAACCGACCTCACTCCATTGGATTTCACTTTGCCCCTTTCGACTAGCCCTTTTAATTCCACTTTCCCCGGCTATTTATTGCTCTGTCTCTTTAAAGAAACATTGCTTGAGCGCCCCCAGAACCCTGAAATTCCACTTCAGCTCACTGTTTGCAGTATGTTTGTACCAAAAAGAAAAAGTGCTACAAGAGGAGGAGAGGAGGAGGCTCACGGGAGGCTTGTGCAGTGATAATTTAAAAGCAATCCAGCAGCCATATGGGCTGAGTTACCTGCAGTCCTAATGAAACCAGCCTAGCTGGAGCCAATGTTGAAGCAAATAAGGAGATCGTAGCACTGCTGGAGCATCCCAGTTGCTTTCCGTTTGGTAATAACGTCTCTTTGGGATCGCTGTACTATGACGGAGTACGACATTTTAATGTATGTGTTTGACAATTACGCAGTTGGCTCTTGGTGTAGAATTATGCGGTTCTGGTGCCACTACAAAATAAAAGCATCCCTTCACACACATTCTCTCTCTCTCTCTCTCTCTCTTACATGCAGATGCTACACAAAAAACACTCACTGCCTGGAAATCTGCCTCTCGCCTCCCATTCAGCCTCTTTTTTTTTTGTTTTTGTTTTTTTTTTCTTTCTCTGCCGCTGGTTTGATGATGACAAAGTGATGTTTTCTACTTCTTGAAATCTCTCACCCTGCTCTCTATTTACAGACAGGTGCCACGGCATTATGGCCACTTTGAATTGTCAGCACCTGGTGAAGCGTATCGCTGCTCGGTGGAGGTTTTATCTATCTTGTCTGTTGTAGCTCGTGTCGGCCTCTAAGAGACGCCGTGTAAACAAAGAAATCATGCGAGACAGCAGCTTCATATCTATCTGTGTGTGTCTATGTATCTGTGGTTGCTATGAACCTTGTGTTAAGCGCTGGTGAGTCCATGTAAGTAACCCCAAGACTGTTCCCATCCGTGTCTTTTCCGAGACGAGGATAACTGAAGGACATTCTTTGCAGCAGATCAGGATGGCAGAGATTGAGCAGGCGTCGCTGAAGTCGGAGCAGCTCTCGGACAAGTCCTCGTCCCCCGCGCTGCCGGACGACCTCAGCCTGGACGAACACACCGCCTACCAGCTGCTGGCGCAAGAGAGCGAGGTGGGTGTGAGTGGAGCGAGGTGGAGAAGTCACTGGACACCTCTGAAGTTAGGACTAAGTAGAAGTTTTTGTCATTTTATCTGCAACTTGCACGGCAGATGTTAGGGAGTACCAGGCTGGTGCACTGATTCACGTGAAGCTGTTTCAGACGATATTAGTGAAGAAATGTGGATCCGATGCCATTTACGCACATGTTCCTGTGTCGGCTCGACTTGGAATTAGTAACTTGTTGAAAAAATTGAATGAAATGCTGAACATCCCAGTAAAAACTTAAGGAGCCCCTAAAGGGACGTGTCGGAGAGAAGAAAAGTACTTATCTCGTGAGCACCACGTAGGTTTAAACGGGATACAGGGTGATGTGGGATGCTGGGAATAAAGCTAAATGTGTATTGTTGTGTTTGTATCTCAATCTGTGGGTCCGTAGGGAGATTTGTCAATGCGTACAAAGATTTATAAAGATACTAATCGATGAAAAGTCTAAGTATTTGGCTCCAAGTGCTGGAAATACAGACAAATCACCAGTTACAAGTCAAGCGTTTCTGCTGTGAGAGATTTTTATCTGTAACTTCAGGGTTTCTTTGCCCTGAGCTCAGGCTCACAGGCTCGTTCATTCTGGCTGCGCATCACGCTCATGAAAGTTTTTGCTCAACGACCCACAAACTCAGCAAATGTTGTCACATATAGACTCTGGAGGATAGCACCGCCTGATGGTTTGTAGTCATTTGTAAAGAGACAGCCAATTGTGAGACCTGCTTGACTTGTAGCTGGTGATTTGTCTGTATTTCCAGCACTTGTGGCCAAATACTTAGACTTTTCATCTTTTAATATCTTTGTACACATTTACAAATCTCACTACGGACCCACAGACTGCGATACAGACACACAACAACACACATTTACAAATAGTTTTGCTACCGGCTCCCTCCAAAGAGCCTGAATTCCCAGCATCCCACATCACCCTGTATCCCGTTGGCACATGAAACCTACGTGGTGCTCATGAGATAAGTGTCTTGTGTGCACGAGAAATTTGGAGTCTGTAAAAAAAAGTGAAGCAGTGGTGAGTCCATGAGGGACAAACCGTGCCTGTTTTAATGCCAGCAGCAGGATATTATAGCTGCTCGTCATCTTTACGCTCAACGTGACGCCAAAGCAGATTCAGTTTTATGGCAGAATATTACAACATAAAAACTTTAGAGGAAGAAAAAGGATGCAGCGGTAAAGATCTCCCCACAAACTCACAGTGTAGCATCACTTTCTCCTCATCCTCGGATCGGGCCGAGCACAAACAGCAGCAGCGGTTCGCTAATGATTTTGTTTTTTATTTATTTATATTTTTTTCCTTCTAGGAAGCGCAAAGGAAATGACCCTCATAAAATCACTTTCGCGGCTATGTTGCAGGCTCTCTTGTGATTTTTCCGGCATAAACCCGAGGTTCCAAAGACCTCATTATCTGTTTCTCTCTATGTATCAGGGTAACTATCTTGTCTTTGAAGAACCCACAGTCTCTATCCACCGCAGACCGTCTCATGAATAAATCTTTCCAACAGGCGCTCCCCAGTCGCCATCCTGGGTGGCTCTCTCGCCGCCCTTTCTTGAATCCACTCGCACACACCCTTTCGACTTTATCTTTTACGCATCTCCTGTCTCAGTATTACCCCCTGCGGTAATTGCACACCTGCCCCTGCTCTGCGCCTCCCTCCAGCCACGTTATCTCCATCCCCCATCGTCCGTCCTTCCCAGATATCCTCCTCCGTAACGGGGTAACGCTTCTTGGTTCTGGATATCCAGATAAGCCTGCAATCAGCAAAGCATGGCTGCGAACCGCCGCTCATTAGAGGAAGGGGGAAACAGATGGAAAGAGAGGAAGAGGGAAAGGCAGAAGGTGAGAAAGGATGTAAGGTTAGGGGGATTTTATTTGTCAAGCATTGATTGGTTAAAAAAAAAAGAAAGAAAACAGTGTGTGCCTGCTTTTATCGCTCCCGTTGTGTGGACATAAATCTGTTTACAAAGTCACATTGTGGGAACTCGTCTCCCTTCTGGAGGACGAAAAAGCCACATAAATCATTAAATTTTAGCACGAAACTGGGTTATTGGTCGGGTAAGTGGTAGTTATGGTGAGGGTTAAGGTACGTCTTTAGGAAATAAGTCAATGCAATGTCCTCTAAAGTGACGGAAACATCTCTGTGTAAGGTTGTTTGTGTTGGTGGCGCCCATAAGAACTCTTCCCTCAACCTGCCTTCCACTTGCCTCCACGTCACACTCACACAATCAAACATTTAATATAACAATATGTAAAATTAACATGACAATAACAGCTCATAATGAGTTCTCACCCTTTCACCGGCACTGAAGAAGAAGAGCCAGAGGGCCGATGTGAATCAGAGGCTATGTTTAATATCTGCACCGTGCCTGCCTGAGGGGATGCTTTTTTTTACTCCTCTCATTTTCTACCAGGCTTGGTCCCAACCAGGAATTGTCACTTTACAATATATAATGTACAACCTTTAATTGCCCCTTTGGAGAACAAAAAAAAAGAGTTTAAAGCTAATTTTAAACTAATGATCATTTTAATGATATAAGCTTTTGGTCCCAGCAATTTTGCAGATATAAAAATAGTCTTTTTTAAATTTAATTTCCCTTTTTTATCCTCCGATCTGGATATTTATTCTTAAACGCTGTCTCTTCGATGTCGGATCATCTGTTTCGCTTCCAGGGAAGGTGTCGCTGTGACTCCCGCAGCTCCGAGGAGGACGGTGGCGGAGGAGGAGGAGGAGGAAGCGCTGGCGGCGGCCACCAGACTCAGACCGTGGTGCAGAGCCAGGTGCAGGGGTTGGGATCGCCGTGCACGGCCCTCAGCGTTGGCACCGAGATGGAGACGGCGCTGCAGGAGATGGAGATGCAAACACACCAACCTCACTACAGCCCTGGTTAGTAAATCTGTACCAGTGATACGCACTGTGTTGCCAGGCTCACCTCCAAAAGACTGAAGAAATGGAGAATAGATTGCAGTTTGTCAGTTTGTTATTGTGCTTTGTAACTCTGCATGTATAACATTAGCTAGCTCTCTTGGAAGTTAACGTCAACATTCGGTCAGGGTTTATTTAATCTGCCATTTTGGACAAGAATTCACAAAAAAAGACTCTTTCAAGTCAAAGTGAAAACTTGTTTGTAAGTCAAAGTGAGAGTCGCACATCTTAAATGACTGTATAGACAAAACAAGGATGCTTTTGTTAGACAAGAGAAACAATTTTCAAGAAATCATCACTATTAGAATCGTTGTTATACATACAAACACACACATATACAAAATATTTTAAGTACTTATTTATTTTAAGTAAGTATCTGCAGTAGACAAGTCTGTTGTCTGCATATATAAGCTTAAAAATATGTTTATATATAAAAAGGAGCACATGAACAAGTGATAAGATTTGCATTGAATATCTGCACATTGCCTTTTTTTCCCCATTTATCAAACTTAGTTTAATTTTGACATCAAATGGCATCACATGGCACATATCTAGGACTGTGGGACAGATTTCAAACAACATGTATACAAATATGATTCTGTCAGCTGACCCACTGCTATAGCTGGGTCTGTGTAGAGTAGAAAAGAGCATGAGTCCACTCCAGGATGGAATTGGAAAGTGTATTCCCTCCTGAAGGTGGCGCTTCCAGCAGCAGCAGCAGCAGCAGCAACAAGGACAGAAACAAAGAAGGAGAAGGAGGAGCCGGTGGTATTTCTCCTCTCTTCCATGTGCCTGCAGAGTTCTTCCAGCCTGCGGGAGCCTCCATCCCAGTTCCTCCCCGCAGCCGGAGCCTGCGTCTGTCCAGAGGCCTCAGGCTGACCTCCCCGGCCTCCTGGGCCTCGTTCCGCTCTCCTGGAGCCCACAGAAAGATGTTCTGCACACAGGTAAGGCAGGGAGTGGGACACAACTCTTTAAAATAGGTTAGATGACACTTGAAGCCTTCTAAGCAGAGAGCTGTGGGGTTTTACTGCGATGAGGTTGAGCACCATCTAACAAATGATGATACATGAAGTGAATTGAATGAGAGTTTTGCTACAAGTTGGATTTAAGTGCTCACTTTCTGTCTCCGCTCTCCTTTCCCGCTCTTCTCTCCAGTACACATCCCACAGTGACTCCTCCCTCGCTACAGGGAGCTCTGAAGGCAGCCTTCAGACCACGCTGGAGGAAGGACTGAGCTTCAGCGTCTCTCCACCACAGAACTTGGAGCTGCCGTTGCCCACAGCTCCCTTACCACTCATGTGCCCTGTTCCGCTGCCTAAAGACAGCACCACCATTTCCTCTCCGGTCCAGACCCTGAGACCGAGGCCGAGCTGCTCGTCGGCGCTGACCCTTCAGGCCACCAGGGGTCACCAGCGGAGCCAGAGCAGCGGGCGAGGCAGCACCAGCCCAGGCTACACCCGGGACGACTCCATCGACCCCTCGGACGAGGACCTGGGCATCGGCATCGGGTCGTCTATCGGTGGTTGCGGCTCCAGCCAGGCGGGCAACAGCGAACACTTGTCAGAGGCGCTGAGCAGCTTGTCGCTGACGTCGCTGCTGTCGCCCAGCTCCCTGGTGTACCCGGGAGGAGCTGTTAAGAAATGCAACAGCACGGGCAGCCTGGACCAAGGGGGGATGCTGCTGTCTTCCCGGGGCAGGGAGGGCCGCAGGGAGATTCTGGGGCTGGAGCTTATGGATCCCCAGGGCTTCCTGGCCAACCCCTGGACGGGGGTTTTAGTTGATACGAGACGAGGAGAAGGAAGAGGGGAGCTAGGAGACGGAGAGCAGGGGCTGAAAGGGAAGAGCTCAAGCCAAACAACAGTGGGGCCTTGTCGAAAAAACAGATGAAACCTGCTGTTTTCCTTTTCTTTGTCACTCCATTCCTTGGATCTAAACCCATTGCCGTCCCTCTCGCTCTCTCTGCTTCATCAGTGAGAGAGGGGTCTGATGACACATGATGTCCTGTATTCCAAAACCAAACCCTCATCTTACCCCCTCAGTCCCTTTCTTTACATTTGTGACAAGCCCATGTCCCATTTTGTGCTACGTAGGGGAGCGGTCTTGGTTCTGGTTGGTGACGAGGTGGCCTGCACAGTTGGGCTGACGACGTGGCCCCTCTAGTCTCTTTGGCCGTGGAGGGTTCTGAAACCAGGAGGCCTGTCCATGTCTGGGAGCCGACAGGAGCAGATACAACAGAGCTTAAAGACACAACAGAGAGTCCTGATGTTGCTCTGCTGTCCTTTTCTCTGCGATGGCTCGGGTTCGCTGAGGTTGAAAAATAGAAGCACCCAAACCCGAAATAGCTACCCGTGCCAACAGAGACACTTTTGATTCGTTTATGTCCCGGAGGCAGTGCAGCGAGCAAGTGGGCGGAGGCTCGGCGATGGCGGAGCATCTCAAGGCGGAAGGAAGGCTGGGAAAGGAGAAGGCAGGTCATTTGTTTGGCTGGAAAAGCAGAAAGCGGATCTAATGTCCATCTGTTCTGGCAGACGGAAACAACAGGTCCTACTCACTCTGGCACTGGACCTTCTGCTGAGATCAGAGTAAAATGCGAGGTGGAGGAGAGTTCAGGAATGTGCGCTCGTGGTGTGTGTTTGCGTGTGAGAGCACTGCCTCAGGTATCCAAGGCATGAATTAAATCATTCTCATCGCTGCACCATGCCTCTGTGTTTTTGAAACAGGGGAAAAGGTATCGACTGAGTCAGGCTCGGCACGTCTGTCAACTCGGTCTTCGGCGGCAGCGGAAAATGAAAAGAAATTAACCGACTGCGGAGGCATAACTGTGCATGGAGTGATTTGTGAAATTGGTTATTTTTTTTCTTTCTATCTCCAGCATTTCTCACTCGCTCATGAACATGAAGAAAACCGAGTAGGAAAGAGAGCTGAGCAGGGTGGAGCTTTACAAACGCCATCAGGAGAAGCAGGAGTGTGTGCATGGGGCAGCTTTCAGTGCACCCAGATACTCTCCACAGTTATTCATGAAGTGAAACTTCAAGCACACTCCTTTTGAGACCACTTTCTCTCACCACGTTTAAGGTTTTAAAATGAACGGACAAAAGGGACCTTGACTGCATGATGGGATTGCATTTAACCAAGATTTTTATCTATATACAGAAGTGTATCAAGATGTCAATGTTGGGTGATAACCATGTGATTTCTATTCCACTATTTTTGTAGAAAAAGAGAATAGGCACGTGCAAGTGTTGCCGTTAGTTTGTCCTGGTTTGATTTAACCCATGCAGTGTCTTTGACTTGTCGTCTAGGACTTTTTGTCTGCCAGTGGCTTCCAGTTTTATAACATTTTTTAAGGTGTGGACAGTGTATAAAACAACGAAGCAAAAAATTTCAAACAAACTTTGTGCGCTGAAGTGATTGTTCCCTCCAGCACATTTCTCTTTGGGAACACTGGTTCCTCTTGGATTCTTTTTTTTTTTTTTTTTTTTCCAGATGTTGGAGTCTCAGAGGACAACCAGAGATGGGAACAGCCATATTCACTCACCACATGGGGACTGTCTAGCTCACAGACATTCCTGCACGCAGGGAACTTTGTTTGCTTTTAGCCTCCTATGCTAAAGAACCATGAACAGCGTAAACCATCTCTACGAAAGCTTTAATTTGAGAGTTACACCACAACATATCGATTATGGGCACACTAGTGTTCCTTACGCATGGTTTTGGGGATTGCAATACAGTATGCTTTTTCTTGAAACGGCACCCTGATGCACTCATCTTCTCTTCCCCATCTCTTCACACATAGAGTATGTTGTAGCAACCCTTTCACACACCATAGTTTGATATCAAGAGCTGACACTGTAACGACGAACAAAGCTTTGCATCTTTGAATGCAAACTTAATTTTGACTTCCGCTTAACTGCTCCATCCAAAAGAGGAGACGCTCATCTTTAAGCCTGATTTCTAGAGGTAGACTGTTGTATCCCCAGTGTTTTCATCATTACCTTACTTTTTATTTTCTCAAAAAGAATGAGGTGATGTGAGAACATTTCGAGGGTTTGACCTTTTTTATCATGCAAAATCACTTTGATGACTATGTTTTATCACATGGTGTTGGGTATTAATGAGCGCGACAGTTGAGTGTGTGTGCGCTGTGTGTGTGTGTGTGCGTGTGCATGTGTGTTTATGACTTCAGGTGAAGTGATTTGCCTTTTCCTGAAGTGTCCTGTTTGTCCGTGAGGATACCTGAGGTTAAAGGTTGAAGAGGGAAAACACAAAGCAACCAAGGGCTGTTTTAGCTTCAAAGATATATCCTCCTATCTTTCTGAGACAAATCCTTGTGTCCAATGAACATGGCATCAAAGGTTGAAGCCTGACTTACACAGCAATAAATGTTCCATGTGTATGCCCTGCGTAAAAGATGTCAATGTGATTTTTATCTCCTCAGAACACAACAGTATTCATTACTGTCTGTTTTTTCGCTTCTACTTGTCTGAACCTACAACCAATCAGATGGCGCCTCTGCCCTCTCAGAGACCAGCCAGCGCAGAGATGGGCTCCAATTGGACAACACGAACAAATGAGGTTATTGAACTCAGGTCGGGGGGTAAAAACCACTAGAAAAAAAAATTTCAAGATAGCTGTAAAGTTGTGCTCAGGCAGAACGCGAAGCAAGTTTTTTTTTTTTTTTGCTTTACAAATTTGGCTGCTGGAGTGTTTTTTTGTTTTTTTGTGTTTCAACCCTGCAAACGGCTAAAAGCAGCAGCAGGCGTTAGCTGCAGCGATGCACCAACAGTGTGTGTGTGTGTGTGTGTGTGTGTGTGAGCAGAGTGTGCCTTCGTACAGTATGTGTGTACTACAGCTCTCACTCAGACCCACTTCAAAAAACCTCCCGAGTTGTTTCTGACGTCTCGCTCCTCATCTCATGTATTTTCATGAAGAGGAGTGCAGTTGCTCATTTTTGCTAAAGTTTCGGCAACTTGTGCGTTTTGCTTCGGTCCGTGCTGCCTTTGATCAAACGCGTCTCCGCCTGTGTGCAGTCGCGCCAAAGTTTGCTTCGCCTTCGGTCTGAACACACCTTAAGAGTGTACAATTCACATTTGTACATATCTTTGTATTTTGATCTGCATGTGTGCATTGCTGCCAGTGACCATGAATATATCATTAGTATGCATTTCATAAACTTGTACAGTTAAAGGGAATGCCCCAGTGTGTTTGACTGCTGCTATGAAACCACTAAAAATCCGTCTGAGTCAACAACAACAAAAAATAATGTTTTTCTTCTAACACATGATCACAAAACTATAAAACATTGCTTCTTCTTTTTTGTAACATTTAAGTTAATCTGACATAACGGCAGAGGCCAGCCTTGACAGTTTGGAGCAGAGAGGAGAAGACAGAACAGGGACACAGAAGCAGGTCCAGACAGCCGGACAGGGTGAAGCCAGCAGACAAAGTGAGAGACTGGAGGTAGTAAGACGCTGCAGGAGCAGGAGACTTCTCCGAACAGCTTGTCATCGGCAGCCCAGCGGAGCCGTCAGCGCGAGAGAGAGCACATTAGGCATGCACGCTGAACTCGGAGGTGTTGTTTACCTCACACCCTCAACCAGCCAGCCCTCCACCTCATCTAACCTCTCAAAACCAGCTCTCCCCCCGGGGCCCCCGTCCTTCAAATGTCACTGCAGGTGTGTGTGGTGAGTCCGCATGCGTCTCCAAGACTCTCTGTGTGTGTGTGTGTGTGCTGATGCGTCACCGACTGGATATGTCTTTGCTTCAGTTTTCTGCAAGGTCTTTAAAAGAAGCGTCCTGTCGTGTGAAACGTGGGGGTCTTTAACTCCAGTTTCCTTCCAGTTCCAGAACACAAGCTCAGCACACGAGCCTCCTCATGTGCTGATTTGATTGATTACCTCCCCCGCGGCAAAAACACAAGTCCCCCGAGGCGTCAAACCTCCTCCGGTACAAGAATGTTTTCACCTGGAAACCTGCTGTTCATGTCTCAGCCACTGTCTTCACTGTGCTTCTGTGCAGAGACGTTGTAGTCTCAGGCTGCTGAAGCCCTCTCACGTTTCCATCCATGTGAAACTGGAAACAAATGCATCAGTCAAGATTGTTGTTTTTTTTTTTTTCCCGTGGCGGGGATGAAATAAATTAAAATGGGTTAGGGCTTCTTTTCAAAGATGAAAAGATTTGTCTGCCAAAGAGGTCAAAAGGTAGCTGCAAAATCAAGAGAACTGCTGTCAAAGGAATCCCGCATCCCAAAAGTTTTGTCAAGTCTGATAAACAAGATCCACAAAGACGTGTCTCATTACTGCGTTTGTCTCTGGGCGCAAGAGGTAGGAACTGGAAACTTCTGACAGCATCCCGCTTGTTTTCATACTGCAGATGGGTTTTTTNCACTTGGGATGAGGCACAGCTTGGGCGTGACTACGCCTGAGTATGCAGGCAGCAGTTCAGTGGAGCAGGGAAGGCCTTTGCCATTAATTTGGAATGAAGAGGCATCCCTCGAGAGTACATAAACGCTCCTCAATATAAATTCCACTGACACCGTGCTTGGAAGGGCTCGGCCAAAGCTAAGAAAAATTGGTTCTCAAACTGCTGTCAAGTACAGGAATTATCTTCTGAGACGAGAAGAACGGCAGCAGGTAGCGTCGTCCCTGCAGAGCCCTGATTCTGATCTCAGGGAGTCGGTGTGGAATGACAAGAGAAAGCATGAATCCACAGATAAATAACAAAAAGATGCTTGGACCAACCTTCCTCCCAAGTACCTAGAAAAACTGCTAAAGCTCAGAGAGTTGGCTCTGAATTTGCACTTGACAACTGTATGGTGATGGTGAAGTGAGCTGACTCTGGTGTGTGGTGGCAGATTTTAACTAATAAGTCGTTCTAAGAAATGTGAG